TCTTTCAAAGCTTTCTTAAGTTGTATAGATAAGGATTTATTCTCTTTTTTCAATGTATCGATTTCATCCTCCCTTAAAACTAGCGAATTTCCTAGAAGATTGATTTCTTGATTACAGTACTCAAGATCTTGTTCTAGGGATTTAATCCTAGTCCTATATTCTGATATAATCTCATCATCTTCTGCTAACTGCTTGCGCAATTCTTGATTTGTTCGGATAATCTCTTCCATGATATTTATTATGGAGTTACAAGCACAAATCGTGATTGATCCCAAAGAAGAATTAAGAATAGTACTCAAGATACTTTACTATAGGCCCCAAGGATATTATAAGACACCTAAAAAGCTTGATAAAGCATGTAAAGAATCGGGATTTAACTTCCTTTTTACAGATATCCGTGAATGGCTATCTAAGCAAGCATTATATCAAATTTACTTACCTAGACCTGGGTATATTCCTAGACCTTCATATAATAATGTGAGACGACCTAATGCACTTCATTTTGCTGATGTTCTTTACATGCCTTGGGATAAGATTAAAGGGAAAGTATATAAATATGCGCTATCAATAGTTGATTGTGCTAGTAGATATAAATGGCGCTATCCTTTGACTGAAAAAACAGCAAAACATGTAGCTAAGGCATTTAAGAAAGTATACTCAAATCCGAATATTCCTCTTGTATGGCCTAGAACTCTTCAGGTAGATAGAGGAGGCGAATTTAAGGGTGAGTGCAAGAGACTTATGCTGAAAAATAAAGTTCGAATCAGGGTTGTCTATTCCCATAGAACGCAAGGTATTGTTGAAAATTTTAATGGGACTTCGGCTGAAAGATCCTTTCAAGGTCAACACTCTAAAGAACTTGCTAGTGGAAATGTATGCAAGGCCTGGGTGAAAGATAACACTGATATCCTTATTGCAATGAATAATGAAATAACTCGTCTTCTTGGTATGAAGCCTGCTGATGCTATCAAGCTAAGAAAAACTCCTAAAGCAAAGGAATCTTTACCCGCTAATAGACCTATTGGTATGGATGAAGAGAGACTCCCTATTACTTCAAAGGTTCGATATCTTTTATTTCCTGAGGATCTTGAAGGAGGTAAGAGACGCCAAACTGACCCTAACTGGACTTTATCCATTTTTAAAATCGATCGAATAATAGTTGAAGATGAAAAGCCAGTTTTATATTACCTAAAAAAAGGAGACCCAGATGATGATACCTGGGTTCCTAAAAGATCCTTTGTTCGAGAAGAATTATTTATGGTCCCCCCTGATACTGAATTACCACCAAATATATAACTTAGGCTAGTAATAACTCCAAGTAATCATTTAATGCCTCATCGCTATACTTGACTTCTTCTACATTCTTATTTAGATCCCGTATCCTGTAATGGCCATAAGCATAGCTATTAATTCCATCATCCAAGATCCATTTCTTTGTATCAAGCGGACATAGAACTTTTTTCGTAGATTTTGTTAGATATATATTATGATTTTCTATTCTAAGCCCATATATGTTATCTGTAGTATATGTCTTATTTTCGAATAGACAATCTCGGTACATATCTATAGTTAATTCCTCTTTTACTACATTTTTTGATATACCCTTAGCCTTTTTAGTGATTTCTCCACCTTCAATCTCAAATGCATACATCTTGGCTCTTAGACCTATAAATTCTCGCATTGGTGTGCCACAGCATTCATCTTTGAATTTACCTATGACTGCCTTATTTTCGGTATCATATAATGGGTGGTCTTTGGGGTAGTTACTGAAGTCAAATAGATCTGCATTCTTTCCCATATCAGCATAGATGTCTTCGGTTTCTACCTCATATACCAGGGAATCTGTATCGGTATATAATAAATTAACTTTTTCATCATATTCGGCCTTAACATAGTCATACCAATATTGATACATCCAGAGCTTGCTGAGATCTAATACAGCTGATCCTACGAATATTGGTTTATTAAGTAATACTTTTTCCTTGCCCATATGTACTGCACATAGGTTATCATTAAAAGCTCTGAAATCTCTGCATCTAGGTTTGGATATATTCTTAACTACAGCGCGTTCTGATTTCCAATCATCCTTGAGCTTTATTAGCTTTATGTCAGTATAATTGCGGACATTTTCCATAGTCTTACCATATACTGAGTTATTCATGAGCTTGAAGAAGTCTTTTTCGAATTCATTCTTTGCCATCTTACGCTTTTCAGTATTGAAGTTAATAAATGGAGCAAGCCAGGGTGATTGGTCGAATTCTAAGACCATATGAATCTTGGTAATCTCCATACCCTTCTTCACATAATATTGCAATGTTCTATAATGGACAGCATATTCCTTTTTATCCATAAGGTTTGGGCATAGCTTCTTACCTTTCACAAAAGCGCATTCTTTTACTTCCTTTTCCTTACCAGTTTTTGGATCTATTACTTTGATTTTCTTATTAATTATTTCATTTTGCTTTCCTGATAACATATCCTTTGTGATTTCGATATTTTCTGGAGCTAGTGGGTAATCATTATGTAGATTATGTAGCTCTTCAGGATATCTTAAGTCTACAACAAATGTATATCCCTTTGGACTGTCTTCTGGAATAGACATAATATCTGGAGCATTTATTGGATTAATCCACTTGAAACCACCACTTGGGAGACATTGAGACATTGCCCAGCCATATAAATTATTTGCATCTACATACATTAAATATTTAGTCGGTTTTGATGGATCATATCCTTGACATTTTGGATTGTTAGCTTTTCCATATCTTTTGGATACCATGGATACACCCCCACGCTTCTGATTTTCTGTGATATCATGCATAAGTGCATCTGTAAATAAGTCTAACTCAATATTCGTGTATTTTAACATAGCATCCCAAGCAAAAGATGGCGTTGAAATATAGTATGCTGGATCTATTTCATAGTATTCCATTGCAGTATCTCTGAATGTTTCGAAGACATCACAGAGTTGCATTACATCAGCTTTAAGGTAAATATCATGATAATCTCCAAAAGTTTTGCAGTCGAATGCTTTCCAGACTTTCTTTGCATGATCATAGTCTTCTGGTGTTATAGCACCACCAAGAGTACTATGGAAGCATTCTATGGGAGGAAGTTCTTTTGCATTAAATTTTTCAGGTGAATCTACCCATTCATATGGATATACTCCCTTTCTTAGCAATAATGTTACTTTATCCATGTCACATATAAGCTTATTGAGTGTCTTGAAAGCTTCAGGTCTTCCCATGCATCGGTTTTTATCAATTCTACATTCATGTTCTACACATTCATTATTACTGCATGGTACTGCACCTAAGTTTTCTACTAATTTTCGGAGTCCAGTATTCATAAATTGGAAACTGTCTATGAACTTGAACTTACCTATAGTCATTGACTTATATTTTTCGATATTTTCAGCTATTACTGTTATCTGGTCACTGCTAGCCTTTCCTGCTGACTGACATACTAAGTGGGAATCATATCCTCTGAAGTTATGGAATATAACAGGGATTTGATCTCTTGCTGGATCTATTTTTAGTTTAAGATTACATCCAGAATGTGATGCTCCTCGGTATTTTCCAGAGATATGGTCATGATCCCAGACTTTTGTATATACAGTGGCATCTCGAATCATTGTCATTGCAGTATCCATAGCTTTCTTCCTTTTCTTGATATCAGTAATCTTTTTCGTCTCTGCTTTCAATCTATTTCCTTCTGCAAGATTTTCCTTGTCGGGATCTTGGAATCCTTTCTTGCATATCCAACATTTATCAGCTTTATTGAAAGCACACATTGCTTTTTCATATTCTTCTTTGTATTCTGGATCAGCTGTAAGATATCTGATATCTATGTTTTCAGAGAGCGTATCTTTAATTTTACTATATAGATTTTCTAGCTCTTTAATAAAATGTTCTGTTGGGTTTTCCCCTCTATAAGGATAGTCATTTGCCCATAATGTACCATCGCTCCATTTTACTATCATGTGATAGCTATTAGGAACATTCTCAGTTAATTTTTTAATTCGCCCCCTGTATACTTCACCATCTGGGCATTTCTTGTTATATGCTTCAAAATCCGAATATATTACACAAGGTGCTCTCATCATATGCTTCCATTTTTTGAAACATAATTTGTTATTTTTACCTTTTATTGGAAGCTCTGTAAATTGAGGTGCATCTGTATGACTATAGCAATACTTTTTGTGCTTTATAAGTACTCTTTCTGATGATAAGTATTCCCCACAACGGGTACATAAATGCTTCTTATTATTGTTCTTGGTGTTGGAAAATATGAGCTTACTTGGATTCTTGATCCATAAATAATGCGTTTTTTCCTTTCCACCTATAGATTCTTCAGTGAGGACTAGAAGATTAACCTCATATTTTCTTGTATAATTTTTCGAAATTATAAGAGGTTGCATACCTGCTTTATCATCCCAGTCATTTACATTGAAATAATAGTCAGGATTTAATTTTTCAAGCTTTTCGAATATATGATTGCTAACTGGGACTGGCTTTCCATCCAGAATATCATCAAAGTTAACAAGATCTTTATATGGTCTTAGAACGGATAATCGTTCCAAATGCTCTAACTTACCTTCTGAAATTCTATGTGCATTAAAAGCTGATATCACATGTTTGAGACAATCATTATCTTTTGTTTTACTATTATCCGGATTTATTGTTCCCTTTGTATTTGCAAGCGATTTAGGGGTATTTATATGGCTTCCTCCTCTGACAATACTATATTGAGCTACTTGAACATCAATATATACTCCTTCCAAAAATTTACATCCAGATCTAATAAAAAGGGCTTCATCAATCTTTTTGTATATTTCGTCATAAGCTTTAGATATAAGTTCATCATTAATATAACTTTCATTCAAGATGTAATCCATTGTAGTTTTGAAAGGGAAGTCTTCTGGTTTTTTTTCAACATATGTAACACCATCTTCACCCTTTTTATATTCAGTCACCTCCATAGTTGCTTGTAATATGATAGAAAATCGGATTCTTTTTTTCTTAGATTGCTCTAATCTTAAAACATTCTTGATTTTCTCTCGGACACTTTCTAGAAGCAATATTTCATCATGCTTTTCTTCATTATCTTTTGGTACTATTCCTCTGTGGACAGTGATTATTTTTCTTTTTTTCATCCAATCTGATAACTCTATCTCTCTGAATATTATTTCTTTTTCTGGAACATTTATAGGCTTTTTCTTCTCGGCCTTCTTTTGGACTCTAGCCTCCTGTCTTCTTTGTGCTCGACTGCTTGATTCAGCAGGAGACTCTGGAACTGTTTCCTTCTCCTTACCTTTCCTTGAAGGAACAGATTGTTTTATAATATCGATGGGCTTTTTGAAAGATTTTAATACTTCCCTCAAACCAAGGCGGGTTGGTTGTCCAATAAATGGTCTCCCACTAGGCTTGTTACTAACTTCTGGTTCGGCTGGTGCTTGCTCTGGAAGTATATTGTCAACACTACTGAGCTTTTCTCGGATTCCACTGATGATTGAACCAATGCGTGTGAAAATACCAGACATCTTTTTGTTTTTATATTATTTATAAAATTAAATGTTCAAATCTAAAATTTAATATGAGATTCAAAATATGGTCTCTATATAAAAAAGAAAAATTTATTTTCGAAAATAATTAATTAATTGTATTGATAATTAGTGAAAAGTTTGTATTATTACATCAATCCTTAATATAAAGAAGTTTTCAAATCTTTTTATTTCATCATGTAATTTATTTAAATTGATTAAAAGATCTTGATGAATATTAAATTTCTCTTGCATATCTATAAATAATTTTTTGTTTTCCTCATCTGCATCATCATATTCTTCATCTCCATATTCGTGATATGTATATGGAAGTTTATCTTGAGCTTCAATAAATGCAATCTGAGCTTTATTATATTCGATATTTAAATCTTCACGAATTTTTATAAGATTTTTATGTATCCTAATATATTCATCTAACCTATCAAGATTTAGGTATCTTATAAAGCTATCCAATTTATTGATCCTTTTTAATCTTAACCACTCCATTATGTCATCCCTATCATTATATAATCGAAGCCTTCCCTCTTTGTACCATGTTTTGTTTACTAACATTACATTAGCAATTTTTATTGGGTCTTCGATTTGCTTTATAATTTTACCAATTAGTTCTGGTGGTAGTTTAAACACTGGAGCAATAGTTTCAATATACTCGATTTCTTCTCTGACTTCTACTAGATCTCCAGCCTCAAACGGGTCTTTGCTGTCATCTAGATAA